CACCCCTGCCCCCTCCAAAAAAAAAATTTGTTTTGCTCGACCTTTGTCCAGGAGGCGGAGCTTGCGTTGCAAAGAGCAAATGATGGTGAACTGAAGGCGGGAGAGAGACACGCTGGTCGCCGCCTTGGAGGTCCAACTTCACAAGCTTCTCGCCAGCCAGGCTGACAAAGACAAAATCATCCAGCAGCTTCGCGACAACAGCGAGCAGTTGGTGCAGCCGCCGCCGCCACCTTTCTTTCGGGTTTGTCTTCATGCTGAGGTCAGACCAAAGCCAGCTGAGCGTTTCTGGTGCCGGGTTTCTGTTTTTAGTACCGTATTTTCCGCCCGATAAGGCGCTATGGAGTATAAGGCGCGCCTTTAGTGAATCTCCTATTTTAAAACTGTTTTCGTACATGTAGCGCACTGCATTAAAAGGCGCATAGAATAGAAGCTACAATAGTGGCTGAGGTTGGCTGATGCACAAACAGCTCCAGATGGCGTGTTCACGCGCACACGCATGCCGTCGTTGTCAACCATGATGAGATTGGCTGTGACCCATCGGTTGCTCTGCGCCTGTCGCTGGCCAAGAAAGTCCTGATTTCTTGACTGGCATGATAAAAAAAAAAAAAAAAAAACATTGAATTGTCGTCATCTTTGCTCACATTTTATTTTCATATCGCAACTCATGCGTGCATGCACACGCCTGTATATTTAGTTTTGGAATGTGTGAAAAGAAAGAAGACACATTCAGCGAAATGAATGAATATATCCATATGTTCGCTTGCACGTGTGCGTGTGTGTGTGTGTGTGTGTGTGTGTGTGTGTGTGTGTGTGTGTGTGTTGGCAAGAAAATCAATTTAATCTCGCTGACTATGGGTGAAAGGCGGACGACACCCTAAACTGGTCGCCAATCAGTGACAGGCCACATATGGAGACAAAAAAAAAACTTGCAAAATGTCCCAGGCAGCAGGAAGCAGGCGGTGGCGGAAGATCCGGGACGCCAGGAAGGAGAAGAACAAGATGGAAGCCAGGGAGCAGAGCATGGCGAAGGTTTTGACGGGGAAGTACTGCACGTAGACGCCAGCATGGTGGTCCCAGATGCCGCCCGGGAAGCGCAACACGGGCGGCAGGCCCAGCACGGGCTCACCGCTCAACGCGCGCACGGCCAAGCCCGTCATGCCGCCCAGGATGGCGCCGTACATGTTGGTGCTGGGAAAGAAGACAGCACAGAGCAGCTGCGGGAAAAGCACGTTGTAGGCAATCTCGGCCCCCGCGAACCAGAAGAGGATCACGCTGGTCTTCAAGCGGGTCAGCGCCGTCCCGACCACGCCCCCC